GTTGTACTGGTGACATTGCTGTGTCAGATATGTAGCAACGTCATTACAAGTCTATACTTACTAAGACAGGTTTGGATTTTAATATTAAAATTCCCACTTCTGATTTGACTACAGATATGTTAGTTTCCCGGAAGAAATTTCGAATATGATAAAAGAGTTAAAATCAGGAGCTTTCCGGGTATTGATGGTGTTAGTACAGAGTTTTTTTTTTAATATGCACCCCTTAGGGTTCATGTTTTGCTATCCCTTTGTTTTTCTGCAATTTTGATCCATGGTTTTGTACCTAATCAGCTTATGTCTACTGTTTTAGTCCCCATTCCAAAAGATCCTGGAGGCGATATCTGTGACCAGTCTAATTATTGTCCAGTTGTTGTTGCAACTGTGCCATCAAACTTGTTAGACATAGTTTGGATCAATAGATGTATTGATTGTCTTTCTACTAGTTATTATCAGTTTGGGTTTAAGCCAGATCATGGTACTGACATGTCTATTTTCGTTTTAAAAGAAGTTTTGTCATATTACAAGAGATTGAATACACCTGTTTTTGTTACGTTCATGGATGCCTCAAAAGCATTCGATTATGTTCGTCATGGTATTTTGTTTGAAAAGTTATTACTTAGGGGTGTTAAGACTTATTTAATGAAAGTTTTAATTTTTTGATACAAGCACCAAACATTTGTTGTTAGATGGAATAATTGTTTTTCTGATGTTTTTAATTCGACAAACGTTGTGAAACAGGGTGGGATCTCTTCACCTATATTTTTTCCAGTTTATCTTGACAACCTCAGTAATGAACTATCCTCCCTTCCATTTAATTGTTTAATAGGGAGTCAGAGAATTAATCATTTATTTTACGCTGACGATATTGTAGTATTCAGTACAGGAGCGTATGGTCAACAATTACTAGTTGATACTTGCGGACAGTATGGCAAACTTAAATCTATCTTTTTTAATATTTATGTATGTTAATTCAGCCTCGTTTTCGAAGGGTAAAACACGTGTCAATTTATTTAAGTGGTAGACTACTTGATTACGTCACTGTATATACATATCTTGGACACTTGTTCACTAGTTACCTTAATGACAATGTTGACATTCAGGCCCAATCTCGTCTCTTCTATGCGAGAGGCAATGCGGTTATTCGCGATTTTAAATTTGCGTCCTTAGCTGTTAAATGTCATTTATTTTGTATTGTGCATTTTTGTGGTCTAATTTTACACTTTGTAGTTTTAACTCTATTGGGAGAGCACACTCACATGTGTTTCGTAAATTATCTGGGTATTCACATTCTGTTGTACAGAGTAATAAGGCATTGTTTGTTAATCTTTATATTAGATCTTTTGATGAAATTCTTCGGAAAAAGACATTTAGCTTTATTAGTAGACCTTCATCTTACCCCTTTGTAACAACAACACTGTACATTTCAATTCATTGCCAGACTTGTATTTTGACTTTGTATTTTTTTGCTATGGATTTTTATGATCTGAAATAAACACATAATAATAATAATAATAATAAACATAAACCATACTATGCAATCCGAATCGTTATTCTTAGATTAATTCACTGAATTATTATGACAGTTAGTTTTTCACACATTGAAGTCGGACTGGAAATACATACAAATTATCTTGAACAAAAGCATGACGAACATACTGAGAACATTTAATAGATAAAGATAAACATTAACAACATACTTGATACTGATATCTTATAGTATACTATATATTATAGGTAATCACAGTGACGTGTTACAAGTTTGACCATCGATACGCGGGGTCAATACTGCGACTGAATGTTCAAAGTATTACAAATAGCGCGGGATAGTCCGTTGTCATGGACATATGGTCCATATGATAGTCAGCTACCGCAGCGCACATGCTTTCGACTTGGTAGATCACTGCCCCGTATACGTGTGTTGTTGCCGAAGCTGGTTCCCGGCGTCCCTTGCGAGTGGCAAGTAGGGCGCAGGTAACTAGTAATCGCCATATTGTTCCATTCGGCCGGGATTCCGGCCCAAAGTCACGTGCCTAAGTGACGTAATTTGAAAACTCTCAAATATTTGTATTCGGTAAACAAATCTTCATTACGCCATGCCCATGCATTCTGTGTGCTTAGACATATTTACATATTTGAGATGTTTCTGGTATTTCTCGCAGTTTCTGTGCAAATTTATAACAAATGAAACAATTTTATTTTCGCCCAACTTTCGAGAGTACAAGGAAACGCCTGCTCTCGGGCCAGGAGCGTAAGCGCTGACGTCAGGTAACCAAGGGAAATGACGGATCAATCAGAATGACGGAATCGTTACTAGTTACCGGCCCCTTGTGGCTTAGTACGCCATGACACTTGAGGCGGGAACCAGCCAAGAACCACGCATGTTTCTTCCAACTACATCTACGTATAGAAATTTAGGGGCAGAATGAGTAATGGCGGACGTAATTTAATACCCATTATACGCTCGTGTCCAGCCGATTGGACAATCATCACGCACGAGTATAAAATATAATTATACATCTGTCACCGTAAGGGCATAAGTTACAGCGTGGCGTAATTTTGTGGTATTGTACTGGGTGTTTGCATCCTACCATATTAGAAAATACGAATTCCAAATACGGAAAGATCACGCGCATTCCTATGGTGTATCCTTGGGAATAATAGATGTATAATAATTAGGTGATAACTTCATAGAATTACTGTGGTATAGGGCTCAGTAGACTGTACATGGCACGCCATGGAAGTACGTCATGGAACTTCTTACATCTAAGGGGCCATCAGGTGAGTGGTATTCCCTGTGATATATGCCACCTCACTCGAGTTGGACGCCAATTGTAACGGAATCAGAATGTCTCTTGGGTTCATCCGGGAGACACAGATAATTAGTGCCACCTCAAATCTTGGTTTTGAAATATTACAACACCTACCAATAAAATGGAATACAAATAAATTGTCAAAATCGACAAATATATTGCTTATCATTTTCGGTGTAAAAGCCTTCACACGTTTTATTCTTTTTACTCATAGTCTTAACCTAAAACCAACTAGTTCTAAAGATACAAACCATTTTAGTTTTAAACGATGACCCCCATTTTGTGAACGAGGACACCCGGCGTGTAAACGATGAACTATGATCCAAGCGTGCGAACCCCATCCACTTTTAGTTGAAATACATAGAAAAGGGAAAGAACAAGGTCACTATCAATGAATCAATGGTTTCGGCTCAAACCTTAACATCGCTGTAAATGGCAATCGCAATGGTCGACTTGTGCAAAACGACGGGGAAATACCTGTTATTTTTAAGTAATGTAATGCAATGGCTGGAAAGTACACACTTAAACATTGTCAACAGTAATTAAATTCATATAAGTACACGTTCATTGTTTTTCAACAATACATAAAATTCTGTTTTACAAAACAGTATTTTTGCCATTGTGCGCTCTTGCCACTGATCGTTCCCTAACCTACTACTAACAGCTATATCACACTCGTCTGAGAGACGATAGCTTCTTCATGAGGATGATCCATTTCGCGTTCTTCGGAAACATATGCCATTTGCGTTGTTATGGAGTATTGGCCGTCTCGCGTTCTTGGGAACAGACAAGGGTGAGAGAAAGTCATTGGTTTGGAACAGTAAGCGTTTGTATCGTAATTTGTAAATATCAAGAAAAGAACGACTAACAATTTGTGTATATATGTAGTTTTAATAGTCATCACGAAACATTTAATAAGAGATTAGGATACTCCATTGTATTGCTGTAGAATTCATTATTTTGATATGTTATATATTGATAAAAATTATTTAAACAAGTTATGTTAAGTGCCATATCGCACACATTTTTTAAGTTATGCAACCTGAACATATTGCTCGGCAACTCAACTACTGCGACATACGACAATTATTAACCAGTGCTGACTTTCACATGTCATTTATAAATTTATCTAGCCAATGTAATGCTCGTGAATGTAAATTTAAATCGTACTGGACGTGCAATCAATACTACATAATCAATGACATGTGAAATTAACCATTTGTTTAAAAAAATATTAATTCCTAATTCCATTATCAGTTCCATATATTGTATTCATCAACTTAACTACGACGTGTTCTCGGAACAACTGTGATCAGTTCGACGATTCTAACACGTTTTAAATGTACCGCACAAACTTAGTTCGCAGTGTGGACATAGTCACTAGTAGCTCTGCACGAAATGTATAGAAGTGGCAAACTGTCTCGCATCACCAACACTTATGGGAACTTCCATGCATTGATTGTTGCGTCTTGGAATTGAAGAACAAGAATGTACTATACACGGAATGTTTAGGTCATGGTCGATGTCGGGTCACTTGAAGATACAACCTACAAAGTTATTTGAAATTCACTTAACACTTTTATTTATCATATGTTTTAGGACACTTGGATATAGAAGAACACACTAGAATAACTGTATAATCATTTGTTTACATAAGCAGAACGTGACAGACTAATTGTGAGATTACCCGCACAGTAATTCACTACTAGTTGTTACCACATTTGGTTGGTTATTACTTCCTAACGATGCATTGTATTTCAAAACCCGGTAAAAATATCATTTTACTATACCTGTGTATCAGTGCCGTCATTGATTTTGGACGATTTATTAGAGTTAATATCAGTTCATGTTGTTTTACACTATTCATTTACTGATTTGAGTCACTACTCCCGTTAAATTATACCGCAATTCACATTCGAATGAGTGTATAACCAAAAAGTCGAAATATTTAATTCAAATATTATAAGAAAAATAGAATGATTAATTCTCATTATTTCAAATGCTCAAAATCTTGTGTAAAGACTTGAATCACTAGAAAAGAAAATTAAAATATGAAAAAAATATGCAACAAAATGAGCTTAAACGATATAATTACTTTTAACACATTTGCAACTTGTATATAATATAAACCTAAATTAACATAGAATATCTAGGTCGTCTGGCTGCACTATAAACCACTAACTGATGTGTTCAAAGTTCAACTCTGGTTTTACCAACAATTCGTTGTACAACATCTTCTAACATTTTCTTACGTGCATTCAAAACAGCGGTTTCAGCCTCTTGGTTATATTCAAGCCACTCAGAATGTTCGTTGCAAGCTTTAACTACAGCATCTTTTTGGTTTTTGGTGAGCTTGCCCACACTAGCTGCTTTGCCGTTTTTCAAAGAATATATGTATGCTTCTAAATTGTTTCTGGTCTCTATCCTGACTTTAAATTGATTGTCCTTCTCTGCGAACGTTGCTGCAACCTCGATCATTCTTTCAATGTCTTCGGGAGTGAGTGTGTTTTGGTCTTTAGTGATAGTAATCTCATTCTTGATTCCCGTACTCTTATCCTCTGCCGAGACGAACAGGATATTGTTTATATCGATATCAAAGGTTACTTCGATCTGTGGAACAAATCGTGGTGCTGGTGTGATGCCATTTAAGTCAAAGCTCCCTAACAGGTGATTTTCCTCAGTCATTGAGCGCTCCCCTTCAAAGACTTTGATAGTTACTGTAGTTTGATAATCGTATGTCGTTGTAAAAAAATGTGATTTTCTTGCCGGGATCACGGTGTTCCTTTGGATGAGATTACTCATTACTCCACCTATTGTTTCAATCCCAAGACTCAGAGGTGTGACATCTACAAGTACCAAGTCTCCTACAATGAAACACAATAAGTACATTGGTTGGAACTATAGAATACTAAAATGGGAATACTATTATTGGCATAACAATATTATATGTTATTATATAACTAAAATTGTCTTCATCATAATGTAATTGTCTTGAATCACACAAGCGAGATAATAATATAACATAAGGCACTGATAATATGTTGATTAGACTTCAGATAAAGAGCATTGTTTCTATACAATATCATGGCTAAGAGTGCAAATATTTATTTTCCCTCCCCACTCCACCCGAAAGCCATGGTAAAAACGTGTTCTCCCAAATGAGTCCGTGGTATTGACCTGAGTATTCAACAAAAACAGGTGCAGTGATAAATAAAAATATTAAAATCTCCATGAAGACTGATTAGCAGTGGGTGCTGTGAAAATGACAGAGTTGTATCTAACCCCAAAAGCAAATACAATGCGCCTAACACAATAATCCCATGATCCGTTAACACTACTTACGTATTTTATCGCTCATTGCACCCCCAAGTACAGCAGCACCATATGCTACGGCTTCATCGGGATTTATGTCACGAGATGCTTTTCTTCCATCGAAGAAGTCTTCCACTAATTGTTGTATTTTGGGAATACGAGTTGAGCCCCCAACCAGTACAATCTCATCAATCTCCGTTGCCGTCAAACCAGAATCATCTATAGCTTGTTTAACAGGACTTGTGGTTGAGAGAAATAAGTCCTGAAAAACCATTGAGAATAATTTACATATTCATAAACCTGTTACCCACAATGCAATTCGCCAATTACGTTATTGTTAAAGTTTGTCTTTAGTACGTCCGACCCTGCTATTACCTTGTTTAACTCTTCAAATTTTGATCTCGTTAAGGTTTCAGAGAAATCCTCTCCCTTGTGAAAAGAATCAATGTCAATTCGAGTCTGCAATGCATTGCTCAGCATCCGCTTCCCCTTCTCAACGGCCCGACGCAGTTTTTGTATGGCACGCTGGTCACTGCTCACATCATGTCCGGTCTTTTTCTGGTAGACATTAAGAAAGTGTTTGACAACACGTTGATCAAAATCCTCACCACCTGTATCAATACGAAACGTATAAACTTAGAGGCCAATGTAATCAAATTTCACATACATTGTCAGTAAATTTCGATTAACAAAGCAATGTGCACGTTCAGAAATTATCGCGCTTATTAGTTGGCATTGTTTACATAGAAACAGTGCTGTCTCGGTTGAAACACTGACCAATGTTAGATCATTACCTATAGGCTACAGCAAACGATACAAGTTTAAATTTAGTACCGGGTAGCAGATGTAAGAACTTTCTGGAGAAAAATTAGCACATTTGGTGAGTTGAATGAGTGTTTTTTAAACTGTTTATATTATTGGTACCGTCAGACAATTATATAATTATTGACAAATATCTGATTAGCCTTAGTCTAGGTTACCTTCAGTAATATAATCGCATCTACTGTATCAAACAGTTTTAACTGCTCAGTGACGGGCATTTCACTCAGGAGTGACAATTAATTGGTCACCATACTTCCACGTTTTTGGTGTGGTCGCGGGCTCGAATTTCCTGTGTTGCTTGTGTACATGTTCGTTTTTTACCCGAATTTATATTCTATAGTTTTATTTTAGTGTAACCACATTGTGTTTTTATTATAACAACTCATCTTGGAAATTTATAATAAATTACATTAATAGTATTAAATTTTGTTTTATTGTGCTGTTTTGGTGGTCATCTGTTTACTTGTTACATTAATCCTAGTATTTCGGTAACTAGTGCATATCGTTAACACGATGTAAATATCGCTAGATGCATGGAGAAGTAGAATTGGCATATTTGTGCAGCCGGCATCAAGGTACGAGGAAAATATTGGGCATCGCCATCTTGATAGTATGATCAGCGCAGGTATCTTTCTGCGTACTGTCTGCTAAGATGTGGCGACGTTGAAGCTAATGCTGACGACGCAACGATCGTGGCCCAACTGAAGGAATTTATTGACTCCCGCATTTCTGTTGTTGAAAATTGAAGATAACCATGCAACTATTAATGTTAATATAAACGCAATTGAAGTAAAACTAACGCTAGCAAACGAGAGAATTTCTTCCCTGGAGGCAGAAAATGCTGAGCTAAAAAAATATCTGTCCTCAATGAATGCACAACTTTATCATCGCGATGGACAGAGCAAACGTAATAATTTTCTACGGCATGGAGCAGTCTTACTAAAACGAATTCTTAAAAGTTTAAGAAAATAAAGTTCGGAACTTCATTGCAACAAAACTAGATATCGACGAAAAGAACATTCCAGATAGTTCACAGGTTGAAGACTAGGAGCAAACCCTAACCAATTATACCCGAGTTTTGTAAGTACAAGGACAGGAGCCGCGTACTCCAAGCAGATAGAAAACTAGAAGATTCTGATTACCGTGTGGAGGTACATTTATTGGATGGCGTACGTGATAGAAGGCGTCGACTATTTATACAATATTGTATAAATCTATCTATAATTCTGTGACAGAGATAATGCCAGAATCAACTAATAGCATAGTGAGGGTTAAATGTGGTTTTAATATTCCTATATATATATTGGAATTTTATATTTTTCTCCAAAGGATTCATCCATTTATTCTAATGATTTGAATTCACAATTACTTGAGAATGGTATCTGTTGGTGCAAAATATCAAAGAAATTGTTCTTGTGTGGTGACTTCAATGCACGCACATGACACAAACCAGACTACATTTTACCTAACACATTTCTGCCAGTTTCTACGTTATATACTTTTGACGTTTCAGACTCAGTGATCATTTGTCTACACGTTTTTGTCAGGACGAGTCAGTAAATGCATATAGTCATTTGTTACTTGATTTCTGTATACATACCAATTTTAAAATTGTAAATAGCAGACTATTTGATGACTTTCAAATTGGCCACTGCACATTCAGTAAAAAGAAAATGAAATTTTTAGACGCTGCAAAACAGCCGAATTCTAAATATTTTTGGTCTTTACGTAACCAAAAAAAATACTTCTAAGCCCGGTATTCCAGCTGAGTACTGGTATAATTACTTCTCAAACTTATTTGTTGATAAAGAAAGTCCTGTTCCTCCTGAAATTGATGAGTTTTATGTTAATGTTATGCTAATGATTCTGATGGTCTGTATGATATCATGGTTGTCAATAGTGATAGTCTGGATAGTGCAATTACCCTTGAGGAAGTTGAACAAAGCATTTCAAATCTAAAATCAAATTATTAATCTGGGGTTGATGGAATTTGGAGACTGGTGAATTTCTCGAGTTATGGGCCAGGAGTCTTATTCCCTTTGCATAAAAAGGGGCAAAAAATAGTGACAATAATTAGGGATAAATATATATATATATAAGTTATTTTGTGATGTTATTTCTAATATATATTGTCCAGATGGCTTGAAGCAAATAGTCATATAGTTTAGCAGCAATCTGCCATTGACAACTTGTATATTCTGCAATATGCAATTACTAGGTATCTGCCTCTTCAGGGTAGATTGTATTGTGCTTTTGATTTCCAGAAAGCGTTTGACACCATAAAGCACTACTTATTATTTGTCAAGCTTACACAGGTTAAAGGGTAAACTATTGTGTGTAATTTACTCAATGTAAAATCCTGTATTCGTTTACATGAGGGGCATCACAGATTATTTTAATTGTAGCATTGGGGTTCAGCAAAGTAGTATTTTATCTCAAGTTTTGTTCACATTTTTTGTTAATGACCTAGAAACTCGCATTGAACACCATCACTCTGGAATTTACAATGCTGCGTTAAAGCTTTATTATTTACTTTTTGCAGATGACCACGTTCTTTTTAGCAGCACAGTAATAGGTATCTAACGCCATTTAAATAACTTGTCCTGTTATGCTTGTAAATGAAAATTAACAGTAAATACAAACAAAACTAAAATTATGATCTTTCGGAAAAGTGGAAGGTTAAAAAAACTCTGAAAAGTGGGTTTTTAATGGGTCTAAATTTGATGCCTGTCAAGTTTCCTTCTTTAGGTCTGTGGTACCAAGCGCAGAAGAGTCTGGCGACTCAAGCTAATAAAGCCCTATTTGTTGTAAAACAGTCTTTACTGAAGTTTGGTTGTCTAGATCCAAATGAGACCTTTACAATATTTGATGCTAAAATATTAACAATCATTACGTACGGCTGTGAAATTTGGGGGTTTCATGATGGCAATGACATTGAGGCCCTACACAACATTTTTTGTCATTTTGTCCCGGGGTTCCTACAAATGCTTCAAATGTAGCAGTTCAGACGAGCTTGGTCGTTATTCACTTCTTGTAGACCTGTCAAAATTGTGAAGTATTGGTTGAGCCTCTTATCAATGCCTGATAGTCGTATTGCACATCGATATCATTTTTATAAGTATTAATGTGATGAGGCAGAACAGGGGAAACAATGATGGGCTTTGAAAGTTAAGAACATGTTATTTAGATTAGGGATGGGGGAGCTTAGATCAATCAAGGGGTCGGTAATGCTATTAATTTGTTAAGGCAGAAATGTTGGGATATGAATATACAAGATTGGCAATCTATTGTTCAGTCATTATCCAAATTAAGCACTTAAGTCAAGTTTAAATTCAATTTTGGCCTAAAAAAGTACCTCCTGTGTCTTGATCAAATGCACCTCAGAAAGTCTTTGTCAAAATTACGGATTTCTGCTCATAATCTTAAAACAGGTCGCCACAAAAATATTCCTAGGGAGTTCAGAATTTGTGAATGTTGTAGACCTACCAATACTAAAATTGAGGATGAATCCCATTTTTGTCTGATATGCCATATCTCCAGTAAATATATTCTAAATACTATTATGAACACCCATCCCACTTGAAATTTTCTTTTGTTGATGTAATCCAATAACGCAACTGTTCTGCGCAACCTCGCTAAATTTATCTGTCTTGCAATGGAAAAAAAGCAAGCATTTTATCTTAATTGCCTGAATTAGTGGGCGTTTGTGGTTCTACACTACTAACTCAAGCCAGACTTTGTTTCGCGAGTTTTTATAAAGCAATTTTTTTGAGGAGGGCGGAAAAAAAATAAAATTAATCCTTTTTTTTCATTAGATTTGTGTGATTCTCAAAGAATTGTAAGTGAGATCATTGATCGGAGAGAAGTAATGAAATCAAATTTTATTCCATGTATAACCTTGTTTCTCATCTGCCCGAGACGTCGGTACTTTGATCATCATACTCCCACGAAAATGCAACTTGGATTTGTTATGCGGCGGGCGGTAAAATAATGAAGATAAAAATAATATTTTATTAGCATTTTTGTTGCGCTTACAAGTCGGCGGGCGCGAGAAATTACGCTGAAATAAAATTATATTTTTATTTCATTTTCGGTTCCTGTTCATTCGGCGGGTTCGCGAAACAAGGGATAATAAAAGTCTGGCCTCAATTATATTTATTTTATTTCTTGAGTGTCAGAATTTTTCATGTACGTATTTATTGTATGATGTGATTGTACTTATTTTGGGCCAATGGCATGCAGTACTTGAATAAACTAAACTATTAATAATATATGTATAGCTAATTAGTATTTAGACAATGTGACTTACGCAACACCACACATTACAGTACATTGGATGGAAGGAAGTCACTATAAATGATTATTCCGCAATTATTTAGCAGCAACAATCGTTATTGCGTTAGACACAGTGTTCCAGTACACACTCATTTTGAATGTACACTATTCATTTAAATGTATTCATGCTGTACAATTGTATCTTACCAAGGTGAGTATTACCATTTGTGGCAAGTACAGTAAATTCGCTATGGCTGATTGTCAAAATGGATACATCGAAAGTCCCACCTCCAAGGTCGAAAACAAATATGTTTTTTACACCCTCTTTCTTGTCCAGGCCGTAAGCAATAGCCGCTGCTGTTCTGTTAGATAGAAATAGTAAATTGTGAATAGAATAGAATAGAATAGAATAGAATAGAATAGAATAGAATAGAATAGAATAGAATAGAATAGAATAGAATAGAATACTCACGGCTCATTTACAAGTCTTGCAATACGGAGACCAGCTATTTTGCCGGCGTGTATGGTTGCCATTCGCTGTGCGTCAGTGAAATAGGCCGGTACAGTCACTACTGCATCTCGGACTGACTTCCCTATATAGCTTTCAGCAATTTGCTTCATCTCACCCAAAACCATAGCACTGATCTCTTCCGCTGCGAACACTTTTATTTCGTCACCTACTTTGACTTCAATGTGTGGTTTGTTTTGTTGGTTGATCACCTGTGATATATTAATTCACCGCAAATCCGAACAACGTATTTGTTATTGCATATTAACATCACACGCTATCGATTTACATCAAGAAATAAAGCTATACGAATAACTTCAATAGCCCACAACACTTTATAAGCTTCCTTAACGAGTGGTGTTGAATACGCAAATGCCGCCAAGGGCGAGAGTGCCACGAGAATTGCATTCTCTTCCATTATTGCGTCCACTACTATAACCAAAGTTTTTTTGGAATAAAAGACACGAGAAGTGTCTTAATAAAATTCAAAAGGCAACAATATAATACACTCGCGCACATTGGACTATGCCAGATAATAATATACTCCATGTATTTCTTAACAAAACAACTTACTTTGAATGGCAAATGTTTAATATCTTCTTGCACTGATGAGTCGTCCCAAAGACGTCCTATCAGTCGTTTTACGTTAAATATAGTGTTCTTGGGGTTCAGTGTCAGTTGGTTATGGGCGCCATCACCGACAAGACGATCTCCCAGTGTTGTGAAAGAAACATAGGAGGGCGTGATGCGGTTACCTTGGTTATTAGCAATGATATCGACACGACCAAATTCTTGCAATTCACGGTAAATTCCAACACTAAAACAAATCACAATGCAGGTAGTTATAGAATAATAATAGTTCCAAGATTTCATTTAGTAAGTAACATGATGCGTGCTGTCAAAACAACATGTATAGTTCAAAATGGATCATAAAAATGCATATAAATCTAATATTTCCAGTTTTATTTATTGACTTTTACATGAAACAGTTTAATGCAATGGTAACGCAATTCGAAGGTTAAAATTATCGTCATGGTGCTCGTCATTACATGACGTCACCTAAAACACTTACCACGAGTAAATTGTTCCAAGGTCAATACCAATCACATTCGTTTCCGTGCTACTAATGACGTCATTCAGGGAAGTGACTAGGCACAGGACGAACAGCCAGTAAGTACCCATATTTGTAGTTAAGTGGATCGAACAAATAGAGGTGATTTCACTATCTGAAAATTAAAAAAATGTCTGCATGTTTACGTATGCCTTCAGATGGTAAATGTAGTATGCTGTTAAAGATCATTAGTTTAACTCACTACCCTTGCAGAATGGCGATTCGATTTCGAAAGCGTCAAAAAATATACACATTTGTGAAGAAAACATTCTGTTATATTTCTTGATACTGACCGAACACGAATATGGCCAATGTTATTACGGAGTTTCCCTTCCTAAAATGTCTGGAGTAAAGCAACTCGGGCCAAGTGTCTTGTATTCACATGTAGCTAATACGACTTTTCAGTGATAGCGTGCATGACAAGAGTTTCGTCTTGATGGAGCGGGTCTCACAGTTTGTGTTTGGTTAGAATAAGTGATAGGGTGACATAAGTCACTTCTAGACCAAAATGTGTCCAGTCTTTTGTTTAGAAGGGATAGATGTGATGGTTAGTAGAAAGGTCCAACAATGGCAGTAACACTTGGGTCCATTTTTAGCAGTTATATTTCCCTGTGTTTCCGTATTAAAAACAGGGGTGTTAGTTCCATAAAGTTTTAAATTTTTTCTTGGGTTGCTGTGAGGAAACGTTTTCCTAGTCTACTCTCCAGAGGGCGGAGGGCAACTTTCCCCACAACACCTGTGTCGAGACACCAGTACTATTTCCAATGTACTGGAAGTGAATCAACGCCGACTTGAATGTCCGAGGTTTTCTATCATTACGACGATACCATTACACAACCTGGGACACAAACTCCACTTCAGATTAATATCACTTTCTCTTACACAATAGGTCATTCTTAAATATTAGAAACTCAATCTATTGTCTAGCCCACATGTTACAAAACTAATAGACGTGAAAAATCATTTGTGTGTTGTGCGTGTATATTTTCCATATTATTTTTTATATTTCGGCTATATCACTGTCAACATACATTGGTTATCAACACATTGTCATCATACTCACTTTTGAGGCAGTTTCGGACTTAAAGTGTCAACATAAACCCTCAAGTCACTAATCCTAAATATTTCGCTACTTGGCTTTTATCCACTAAAATTACATGAAACTGATAATAATAATGACAATAATATTTACCAGTATAAAAATGTCCCATGGGTTTTATTAGGAGTAGCCATTTCCAACGTACTATTTAGGTCATAAACTCTCCTCTGAATGCATTTTTCCTAGGCCAGTCTGTCCGAAAAATAGTCTATTTCGAGAAATGTAGGGATAGTACCGTCGGAATATATTCAATTTTTCGACTATTGCAAGCTCGCTGCACGAGTCTCATGTCAAATTTCTCTGACACAAAAAAACTGTATGTACTACTCTCATAGAAATTGTCCTCCCCAGTTCATACCCACCACTCACAACACCATGTATACATAACAAAAATTATCAAAATCTGCATGCTAACTAAGTTTTCAATCTGGTGAAAATAGCAGTCTACAAAACTTAACTAACATTTCAGATAATCTGTTCATTCTGATCCATCTGATCAAGCGAATCCACATGTATTTCAGTCCAACATTTGAATTTAGCGAGAACGGGACTCTGGCTAAAAAGGCTAAACAACTTAGAATACTACTACATCATTCCTATACAATAACATGTCATTGAAAATTACACAGTCCCCGTTAAATTTTTGAAAGTTCTCTTTAAGATCGTCATATTGAAGCGGAGGGGTTGTCGCGAGCGTGTCCTTGAAACTTGAGTCCCAAGTGGCGTATACAACAGATTGTTTATTTACATCAAATTTGGACATGTGTTGCGTGACGACCCCTCCGGTTTAAGACATAGCAAAGAATAACATAGATCACAAGTCAAAGCATGTCCAAGTTATCACATTTTAAACAAACAAGATGGCTGCCAGTCGGCCATATTTTATCAAAATGCAAATTGAATTGACATGTACATGTATCCATTTATGCTATGCTAAATTTCAATGAAAATGATACATGGGTGACAGAGATATAATAATATGACCAAAAATAAAAACAGCCATCATTCGGCCATATTTGATCTGATTATGAAACAAACTGACATGTATAATGTATGTGCCAAATACGAATGAAAATGGTACATACATTTTGGAAAGTAGTAAGGCCAAAAAGTCAGATGGCTGTCAATCGGCCATCCTTGATCCGATTGTGGAACAAATTGTCATGGTCATGTATCCTAATATGTATAAAGTATGTGCCAAATTTGAATGCCAACTGACAAAGCATGTCCAAGATAACAAATTTAAAAAAACAAACAAGATGCCTGCCAGTCGGCAATCTTTGATCCAATTGCGAAAGAAATTGTCATGGACATGTATCCTAACATGTATAATCTATGTACCAAATTTGAATGAAAACTAACAAAGCAGTCGGCCATTTTGAATCGAATCGCGAAACCACTGCATGTGCATATGTCCCACATAAAGTACGAGGCACATGCAAAGAGTGAACGAAATCGGTCCAAAGGATTCTGAAATATGACTACGGACGAACGGATGGAGGGACGGACGGACGGACTGAGACGGGGACTAATAAAATGGATAACAATGCCAGAAGAATGGGAGAAACAAACCGTTTGTCAGATATGTCATACCATCAAGTAAACCTGTCATTCTAAGCTACTTTTCAAATCTGCACTTTTTTCTTTTGACATGGTGCTGATCCCATAACCCAGGTCATTATATCTGAAAATGTTTCGGTGTTAGAATTCTCTAAAAACACCTAATCTTAAGAACTACAATATGAAATTCTATCGTGGCAAAAGGCAATACCACAGTCACGTTGTAAAACTGCATGTGGACGAGCACACCCCTGGAAGAACCAATACGCCAAAAAAAAAGAAAATCTAACAAAATTAAATTTTCTTTTTCTAATATTTCAGTCATGAATACCAGATAGGAATTTTAGATACAAGCTTGTTAAATTTGTCTTCTTTTGCACCTCAGTTATCCAAAACATGTGGCATGTTATTAATAGTTTCTTTTTCCATAGTAACCGATTTGCTTTCCAGACAAAAGGATCACATGACCTATGAATGACACGCCCTCTAGTGATGGCTTGTTGTAAACCCAATAAGTGAGAAGTATGCAAATAGGTGATTGTATCAGGGTAGCTTAACTGACCAGTAATATTACTATTATACACTTGTTTTCTATAAACCTGAGATGCTAACACCCGAATTACTACTGTAAGCTTACACCTGCCATGGCGTTATTCAATTACTATGCATAAAAGCACAACTTATCACTAAACTTGACTAACCTACTTCTGAAGATTTCCTAAAGTAATGTATCTTTTAAATTTAACCTAACAAACAAAACCAAAATTAAACATGGCATTATCACTGTTGTTGTTTATACCCTGAAAATTAAAACTTGTTTTATGTGTTCTCCTTCTAGAAGAAAGTTATTACAGACCTATTATTCATAAGCCTGCTAGGGTTTATCTCAACTATCGAGGTTCGACTACGCCAATGGTGTCATTTTCAAACTAATTCAACATATTCACCAGACAAACTGTAACTGATATTCTACTTTTATTGTTTTCAAACCATTGTGTTGATACCAGAAACCAATTTTCTGCTACCTTTATTCATATTTTTTACAGCTTTTGCTGCTAACAAAGAGAGCATCAGACACGTTGAAATATCTTTACTAGGTAAACTAGATCTTCAAACATCCTGCCCTGCCCTGCCCTGAATAATTTTTGAAAGCTTTCTTACTCTATTGCTGGTTTGATCAATGAAAGTCAACTAAAATTACTTGCAGTTAAAATGGACAAGCTGGAAACTAGAAAAATTCAAAATTTATTCTTCGAACTAAATTCATAAGCAGAGAAGATAAGCTCCATAAATGTTCTTACCAATAAACGTACAGAAATTCTATGGAATTGTGTTATTGGTGGCAACAAAAATATTAAGAAAATGTGGATAACATCACTTCACTTGGTAAATATGTGGAGAATGCTTCTAGGGTTATTAATGGGACCATTTTTGAAGTGAGACAATCGAGTTTCATCAGAAGATGCGGGATACCCTTAATAAGGTAGCACCTTTTATCAGACAATGCTTTCCAAATCTCTCATGATGATACTTGCTTACTACTATATAACAGAAGATGTTGTATTTAACCGACTTCTTAAATTATACATAAAGCTTGAAATTCCACGCACTCGTACACCAAGATACATATTCTACCCGACTACTACCAACTGTTTCTCCACATGAAAACTCATTCCTTGAACTTTCCTCTATAAACATTGCCCAAATGCATTGGAGGCCTAAACCTAAACCAACACCTATATTTTTGGACTACGCCCAAATACTGCTTCAAAGCCACGACACCAGCTGTGAGCTCGCCAGTCCGAGCTACACAACATCGACAATACCCTAGCCAAAGGCTACTCCATTATCTTAGGCATAGAAACATTGCCAAATATCACGAAGAAAATCTGTATCACTACGCTTTACTTAACTGGCATTTATCCCAGGTCAAAAATATTTACCACATACTTGATTATTGATGCATGTTCATTTGCATATTTGACTTTCTGCATAAATTACGCCGTATGCGTGCCCAGGTACACCACCTTATGATTTCTATCGCTGTTTCTAATCACCTACTCTTTCAGATTCGGATGATTGTCTGTCATAGAGCAGAGTTTATAATATTAAATATTTATTTATTAAATAGTTAGATCTTGTTTTATCTAGATAACTCATCTTTTCCTATTTGAAATGCTAATTATGAAAAGTACTTTCACATTCACAGACCTGCACATAGAACCAGATATGGTGTACTTTGACCTACATAGTAGTGCGACCTCATGACCCTGATGCCCCTACCACATAGTGACAATGTTTGTGTAACAAAGACTATTTCAAAGGCCAACAACAGGCCAAGAACGACAGTCGACTACCCAGACTAGTGACCAGTTTGAATTATACAACACGATTTACCTGTCATGATAGATATTTACATGTCCTGAAATCAGCAAGAGCATGTACGTTACAAATAATTTATAAACATAAATATGTATCTATGAGCGCGTGCAGTGACGCAGACTATTTTAATCAACTGTCTGATGCGCGAGTACTTCATGGAATGGGATGACCAAACAGTTGGGTTCACATATTTGTACAAGTATAAGGACAAACACGCCTGAGTTGAATTATTATATTCCTGTGGGAAATCCCCTGATCACTCATTGGCACGTGATCACGGTACCTGGAAATTCCCCAGATAACATTGTCCTATTCATCAAATCACAAATGTGTTCTTTTTTATTCGAACTAGTGGAGAATATCCAATATATGACAGGGATGTGATGTGATGAACATTATAGCCCTTCTCTATAATTTAATACACGCCATGACACATCAACTTTATGTCAATCTGTAACAATATTTTACTTTCACTAGTATAGTTGTATTAGGTAGGTGCACTTGACTGGGTCTGTTTCAGGTTAAAAACAAGCGAGGGCAGTTGGTAACTGGCACAATACATCACTGGGCTGAGTATATTTAGCGAGAGGCAGTTACCGATTGAGCAAATACAAATTATAGGTTCCAGGGCAGAATGTTGGGTGTAATGTTGTGTCTGAGTGTGCTACAGCAAAATTAGAATTCAACATATCAACATGGCCGTCAGGTATTAAACGGCCAATGCGAGCATGTTGTTTTCCTCAATTTTAGTATCAACAAGCATTCGTTCGAATAATATCTGTGATTACAGGTGTGGTGTGCCCGCTTGTGTGTTGCACACACTGATGGTATAAGTTTAACGCTAAATGAAGTGAACTGACAGTTCGAGGTAATGTTATATATGTGTATACACCGCATAACGTCCATGTCGAACACAGACAAACAATTAGTGTTGGTTGAACATAACACAGGCAGACACACAAACTTCAACGCCTTGGGCGTACACAGAATGTAATTCAATACACCTCTGTAAGGAAAGTATTATTCAGAATATTGTGTATTGGGCGGGAAGCATTCTATAGTGTTACAAACACTAGCACATATAATTCCCTCAATTTGATACTGTTGTGTCGAGGCAAATGCCGTATTTGAGTTCATGAAAAGCAATGGAAATATAAACTGTGGCGTTGTCAGGTCGGCCATTTAGGGCAAGTTATGCTGGCAAAAAGGCAGATAAGACGTGGTTATTGCTCAAACTGAAACCACACTTGTGACGTCATACCGATATATTGTGTGGTCATTATCTGGGGAATAATCTCTAAGTCACAGACAGACTTATTTATTCCACAGAACACAGACAGACTTATTTATTCCAATCGTACAATTTTTAATGAATTTTAATTTATTTTTGTTTTTACTTGGATCATCTAATTTATAATGCTAATATTATTATATTTTTGTAATTAGCTACAAACAAATTTGCTCTTGCTGTACCAGTGCTGGTCTTACTCGTGACAGTGACTGGTTGGTAGTCCCAAGTTTATGAATTTTGACGAGGTGCTGGATAATTTATGTTTGCTGCAAATACGTTATTCGCAACAAAAATATGACATTTTGTTAGTAGTCTGTTTGATCCATGGCTAAACACAGGCGTATTTAACGAAAATAACTGTGGGAGCTGGCGCCACCAATCAGCGTTGCTGTAACATAAATGTGAACGTCTGCGGTCATCACAGATTAAAACAAGGGCAGTGTGTAGGCTTTGTGCCGTTTCAACGGGAGTCAAGAACAGGTCTAAATTCCTTAACACGTTTCCAAAATGTTTTATTCTAACGTTCAAAATTTCCTGTGGGCAAGTGTATGAAGATGATGGAATGTCTAAATATTTGTGCAAACCTTGTTTTAGTAAACTGACAAAACCGTCGAAACTGATAACATATCGACTTGCCCGATCCGGTATTCGTTGCAACAAACACATAATTTCCCTCAGATACAGTACTGAAAGCTTTCTTTTGATGATCGGTAAGCTAGCAACACGTTGATTTCTATATTCCACCATTTTAACCAAGTACTAGTATGTGTCGTTTCTATCGTGAGTTCTGATTGGGTAATGCAAATGAGCCCAAGTGAATCTTATAATCGCTTGAGGGCATGCGACATGCAGTAAATCGTGGTGAAATCTGCCAAGGCTTAATATTGAGGCTTCGGCCGAATAAATGGTCTTTGGCTGGCGAAGATGATAATGTTCATCACACCACATCCCTGTCATATATTGGATATTCTCCAATCTCCACTAGTTCCAATAAAAGAGAACACATTTGTGGTTTGATGAATTGTACAATGTTATTTGGTAGATTTTCCAGGTACCGTGATCAAGTGACAATGAGTGATCAGGGGATTTCCCACAGGATTATACAGGGGGGAGTTGCATGACACGATTGGTTGAAATATTCGTCTCATTTGCATAAATTAATATTCACGAGCAATGAAAAACTCGTCTTTTCAGTAAAATTATGCCAAAATTCTTTCCGATAGCACACATGATAGTTCTAAATTGACAGATTATATCGCTTCGCGAGTTGTAAAAATAATCGAAAAACTGATGTAAACGTGTTTTTGAGACACGTTTTTGATCAGACTCCAGCAAACTGTTGAAAGTAACCACAGGTTTTTTCTTTACCGTGATCATAGCAAGTTACGAATTTCATGGAGAATGCGGAGGCACGTTGATATTTCACTCTAGTACTATTGCTCAAAATTGTTTTATCAGTGACAAGATACCTAATTAGTATGCATTTCGAGAAACCACTGTCTGGGTGCATGCGCAGTTTGAAATGGAACATTTTTGAACGCAATAAAATCACGCATAGAACTCAGGCTCTAGCAATAAATTGTGGCGTCAAACTGGTTGTCGGTTGATTTGTTTTACAATAGACATAATTTTAGAGCCTGTATTTTTTATGTAATGTTTCTAAGTTTTGTTGAGAATTATTCTGCAAAGAAATCGTTGCAATTATTACATCTGTTTGTAAAAGGGACGTTGTTGCTTCGAGGATGGCCTACGGACGACTGACTTCGAAACGTTCCGCCCAGATCGGACGGCGTCCTCTCGTGCCAATCCCCCCTCTCCGGATTATAATAATTCAACACAGGCGTGTTTGTCCTTATACTTGTACAAATATATGAACCCAACTGTTTAGTCATCCCATTCCATGAAACACTCGTGCATCGGACAGTAATTAGAACAGACTGCGTCACTGCACGCGCTCATAGAATGACCAACTGTGCTAGAGTTGATACATATTTATGTTTATAAATTATTTGTAACGTACATGCACTTGCTGATTTCAGGACATGTAAATATCTATAATGACAGGTAAATCGTGTTGTATAATTAAAACTGGTAACTACTCTGGGTATTCGACTGTCGTTCTTGACCTGTTGTTGGCCTTTGAAATAGTCTTTGTTACACAAACATTCAGTCGAACAGCCATGACCTAATTTGCATATTCTTATACAGCATTTGGAAATTTGAAATTTGAAAATCTCTGCCAGTAACATCACTGTACCACTGTGGAATAGTGTGTTACTGCTCGTCTTTTTTTTGTAAAAAAATATTGATTAGATCAACAAGATTTTTGCTTGGTGACAGGTTAGTATGCTTATCGCCAATTGTGTGCTTTTATTGTAAGATATATCTATAAAATCAGAAAATGTTTGACTAAATTTGGATTTGGACAGTCTCAATTGAGATCAACTTTAATTATGCGCCGCGCCATTAACATAGTTTTTTTTCTCAAAATTATAAATATGACAGGTAGTTATTCTAAGTAGACATCCCCAAAGTTTCAAGATTGTACTGGACCTGTAGGATATTCTTTTTGAAAGAAGGCTACATTTACAATATGGCGACCAGTCAGTGCCTCGATATGCACCCATTAATTGATTGTACATGCACATTTTGATAATAAAAACACCCAATGACATGAAAAAATAGCTATATTGCATTTAGCAACGAATTCCCACATGTATTTCATTTAAGCTTTCCTAAACATTTTGTTTACTGAGTAAACATGGTTAAAAACTAGTTTAATAATTAAAAACCAAAAACTAGCAGAACTACTTTTTATACTCCCTTACATACCTCTTCATTCACACAGCAAAATATGTGCCCAAGAATTGGCTTACCCCCCCCCCCCAGGCTAAAATCGCCTTGTCAATTGTCAGGGAGGTAGACCAAATGGTAAGGTAAGCCTACATTATTCTCTCCCAGTTACATACAGACATCCTTGCCAAATTCTGGGCTCAGTCACCGTTTAGGTAAGCCTGAATTACGTGTGTGAAGCTAGGTTAAAATAGCTAAGCTTTCAAGCACAAATTTACTGTTAGTGATTCAGGCTTAGATTACTAGTATGTATCATTTTGACATAACACTTAAGTTTAAAATTTCTCAATTGATTTTTTGCCATGAGATAACATCTGTGTTAGAGCTTGAATCATTATTGTTCTATACTTTTTATTTTGCAGATAGCATCACTGGTACTAGTACTATACTGCGTATTTAGATTCAATATACTGATAGACTGGATTTCCTTTCTTTTTCCTTTGACTTTTTATTTTAACAGCACAATTTTGTTATCAAAATCACAGTTATGGGTAAGTTGTTAATAAAGTTCCTTATTATACATATGTCACAGTAACGCCATAAGTTACAGCGTGCCGTAATTTTGCGGTATTTTACGGGGTATTTTCATCCTATCATATTAGGAAATGCGAACTCCAAATATGGAATTAATACGCGCGTCAGCGTCCTATAATAAAAACAAACATGGCTGCCACCAGGGTTTGACTGGACCTCACACAAAGTATTTCGCTGATTCTGTTCTAAACATTTTTGATTCTGGCATTCCTATGATGTATCCTTGCGCGTCGGTCGATCCTCCTGCCGTACTGTCTTCGTGCACACTTTGAGGTATCCTCGTAATAACCTCATATTATTGACAAGGTCACTGATTATTTTTTAATAGTTTCCATAATCGCCATAAAAGAAAGTATATGGCCATAGTTAAAAACCTGGTTTGAATAGCCATTCACCCGTGCTGAATGGTTTGGTCCTTAATGAGAATGGGTTAATACATTTTTTGAAATTGTCCCAAAAATGTGTGCATTGTAATATGAGTAGAAGTTAAAAAACAAAAGTATAGAAACACAATAGAAAAGAAACAACTACAACAAAATAACAATGGACCTTTTAATTTGCACTCAATGTTAAACCAGCGTTAAGTAAAAAAAATACAGGTATGTGGCTTACATAAAAACAAACTCACAGAAGTGCAAAATGATACATGCAAAGCTTTGATGTAATGTAATCATCAGCTTGAATACATTTTTCTATGGAGGAGATTTTACTATACCCCCCCAAGTTTCGAATGAGGCATCCACCACCATTACATGTATGACAACAGAACACAAATTCTCAATTTTAAAAGTAAACCCATATTCCAGATATTGCCATTAGCTGATATTTTCTGAATGTTTAAGCTGGATTATTATTCCAACTGCCCTTCCACCAATTAGAACAGCCCCATTGAATTTGTTATATTTTTGGAATTCTAATTTTTTTTTCGATTTTCTTATTTAGTCAGTACACCCTCAGATAAGTACCTAAATTATTCTTTTCACGGATACTGGATTGGCATAGTTGAGCTCAGCCCATACACTCCCATAAAGTTTTTTTTAACATTCCAACTGCCTTTCCGCCATTTGGAACAGCCCTTTGAATAGTGAGGTCACCGCAAGGTCGCGGTAAAATGGCGTCATACTCTGTGTTGCTGTCGGATCTCTATCTTTAATTTTGCGCCCTGTCGTTACACTCAATTAAAAAATACAGTAAGTATCTAGATTTTTCGGGGTAATATCCATCATTCTCTCACTGAAACGGTTTTTTTGGAACTGGTGCTGATGTTTAAGGAATTTGACAGTCTCGAATTTCAGACTCTTGCATATGTTTATGTTTCTTGCCTTGCAGCAATGTATTTGTTGCTTATTTTGATAATAAAACACTGCGGAATTACAAACCATGTGACCATGTGTGTGGATTTTATGTGAAATTTGTGCATTTATTGCTCAGGTTTTATCATTGAACAAAGTCTAACTTCAGTGAAGCAGTCGCCATTATTCAAAGTGTAACGGTCATTAGGTCATGGCCGTTGCACTGGAATGTTACTGTGTGGTAGGAACATCGGGGTCACGAGTTCAGACTGCTATGTAGGTCACTATAGCTGGTTATGTACACAGGTCTGTAAATGTAAATGTGAAAGTACTTTTCATTATAACCTTGTAGGGTCTCGCTTCCATTCTCTGTAGCAAAATAAGATATTCGAATATTCACATCGTTTTTGTATTTGTTTCTTTTTGTTTACTGAAGGTCTATGGCATTGATCACAAGGACCTAATGCTTCTCAAAACACCCCGGTTCCATTGGAAATCAGCTAATATCCAACAAGTTTATCAACATCACCACTGGGTAGAAGACTAGTCATAAGTCAGGTGCTGTATCCCTATACCATTGTATTTTTTGGACAAACTCAATATTGAAATTGTTATATTCCAGAACCAACATCAGGCATATAATTATTTCTTGTAACCTTGAACTGATCTTTTATTAAGATAAAGTTGGGGCGCCGTCCTGTAGATTTTTCCAGCTGGACGAAGTCTGAAAGGGATATTAGTAATGGGAGTGCAGCGAGTGGTTATGAAGTGTGTATATATTTATCTAATTGATACCTATCATTCCTTTTTATTCGATGTAGACAGACCGACTTGTCTGTAGCCATTTCTGTGATATGTTTTGGCCGATTTGTTTCTAAGTTGATACAGGGTGTTGTATTCTTTGTTTTCATTAAGTAATTTTGGGATTTGATCACTATTGACCGATTGGCCGATACTCTCGCTCTCGGACAAATTATGTAAAATATGCAAGAGAAATAAGCATCGTTCTATGTTTGAAGAAGTAATAGCCCAGATTTTTTTTTATCAGGTCTTACATAATACGCAATTCTTCATATTACCACCCGATTTGTGTCGCGTTTGATTGTATGGATTTATGTTTCAAACACATTAAAAAAGGGTGGAGAGGGGAACAGATGGGATTAATGCCATTTTTGTGGCTTTGTATTTATTATTGTAATACATAGACATAGCTAATTGTCAAATCACATTTACGTAAAAGTTGATACAAATAATAATTTTCGCTTTCCACACAGTGACAGAGCGAAAGCACTTTATATGTAGCTATTTGTTGAAACATAATCCAATAAGGTAGAATACGGGGACAAAGCGCCCTCAGCTAAAATATATATGTAGTCTGCTATATTGAGTGTCCCGGATGTTAAGCAGCAGAATAACACGTGTCACGTTACTAGAAGGTCAACACGGGTTGGTTGTCAAGATATCAAATCGTTTTTCATTTTTTTTATTTAATTATTTGACTGCACTGTAAATTTATAATATTTGTGTCACTGTTAGACTAATGTTGTTGAATTGATTTGTCATACTATCACAGATCATTATCGTCAGGTGATGGCAGGTGGTTGATTGTTGTTAATCGCATATATAAAATCATTGCAAATACCAGTCTTCCTTTTATTGACAAAGGAAGCCTAAACTGAAACATTCAAATAAAACATTGCCTTTAGACTGATTGATGATTAAATATGTCAACTTGGTGCCAATTCCGAAATCGGTTTCGTGGAACAAAATGGTTTTAGGAAAATGTTCTAGTTTTAATATAGTATGGTAGAATGGTATATGGGCGACCTCAGTGTTAAGAATCTGTCTAAAGCATATCGACAATTTTAGTATTTCTACATTTTGTGGCAGACATACAAAATGGTGTAGATATTGCATGTCAATATTTATTAGACACAATATCATGGAGATAAGCATCTCTGAAGACGTTAAATAATGCTTTACGAGCATGTAATTAATGACATAGATATCTCAAGTATGTTGTAAATATTTAAAACTTTGGCATGATACAACTTCCCTATCTGATTTAAATTCATAATTGACTGCCATCACTGAAAATCACATGAATTGTATCAGATTCTATGCATTAACTTTAGTTGACAATCATGACCAAAAACCTTCAGTACAAATGTCTACTTTTAAATTAGTCAGTATCACTGCTTAATGCAAATCAGGGAATACAGCAATTTGTTGACATCGTTTTTTATTGGTTTTGTTTTCAATTATTACTTCAATTTAGAATAACAATTTCTAAACTTACCCCTATGGTACAGCACACTGTCAGGGAAGGATGTCGACTTTAACGTAGTGTGGTATGAAATGGTGATCTTTACTCGAATGTTAACATAGGGATAACTCGGCATATACTGAGCTTAGAGTAAAATGGTTGTCCCTGGGCAAACTGCCAAGCCCAGGGAGCAAACAAGTGGACCAGGTCCTGTGTATATGTCTGAGTCTGTCTAAGTCTATCTAAGTCTGTATCTCTCTGAGTCTTTCTAAAGTAACATGTCATTTTATGAGGTAAATGACGTGATCCAAATTGATACATCACATGACTCAACACACCATTTATGATATGCGGGTGTATTGAGTCACTGTCCTAAGTTTCCTGAAATAGATTGAATAAAAATACAATAGTAGTTTTAGCACCTCAACACCGTAGTAAAATGCTCTGTGGGCTGATTTGTCGCAGGGAATAAAGTATTACGAATTATGTTATTACACGTGGTGTCATACACTGTCAGCTGCCCATATACCACATATACTTGCTACACGGATATTGTTTTAGAAACCACGCTTGTTGAGAGCAATGTGAAGATACGCTTGATATTGTTCCAATACAAGCGTCAATTCTGACAACGCTGGGTGAAAATGATGGGTGTCCGTACGAACGATATGACACTACAAAAATAACATTACGCTTTTCCACAGCTAAGGCAACGTTTTAATACATTACCCGTATGAATCGAAAGAACAGAAAATATTTTGTATGCACTGATGCAAAACGAGCTATTGAAGTAAAACACATGAAATATAAACAATATTGGTAGACATATTTGAATTTTAACCAAATATAATCTTACCGTGACCTGATTAAGGAATGAGTAACAAGATTATTATTGGTTTCTGAATACAAACATTTTCTTATGCTCAGTAATCCTAACCATGTTTTGAGAGTTTGGCAAATGTGCCCCAAAATAAGCTAGGGTTAAAGGCGATGTCAATTGCTAATTATAGAGCTAGCAATATTGGACCCAGGGCCCTGCAACGTAAATTTAGGCTAAAAATGCTCAACGCCAGTAACCGACATCATAACTTTTATTTGTATTCAAATTAGTTTGTACTGTTTTTACAGGCAAAAATGGGAAGACGTTATCTGACTAATTGTTTGACAGTAACCAGGTTTATATGTTTTTTTTGTGTCGTGATAGGTGTACAATATTTAGGTAATGTGACCGTAATTCATGATTGGTACTTTCAAATAACATAAAAATAGTTGAAAACAAGACAATGTTTTGAAATAGCTAAGACCACTTATTAACTATTGGCATTGCTTCATTTACTCATTCTTATTGCATTTATCAATACATCTGTTGCCTGTTTGTACATAGAGTTATTTGATTTGTTCTTTCTTTACCCAGTATAATTAATTTGGATATTGATCTATTTTCACTTTCTTATTAGTGCCAAATCAAACAAAATGTTACCTATCTGTTTCACAGCTACGGACAAAATGTTCATGCAGAATTATAAATCACAAGGCCCACCTATCTTCGTGATAAACAAATCAAAAGGTTTCAAGAACAATAGGATGGTATGTTATAGTTGATTTATTAATTCATGACAATGCTGGATACTAACAATGGTAGCCAATTACAGTCATTGTTGGTCCAAATTACGAATCTAGTTTTTTTTTGGTTTATGTTTATTCACAATACGAAAATGAGCCACTCACTCAGCCTGCAACTAGATGGTAGATGGTATGTTAAAAATCAGTTTTCTGGTGTTGATGAAGAATGTGAATCTGAACGGAAGGTCAAATACATATGGAAGTAACAGCCTCATAATGAACAAAATATATCATGAGATAACCACTAACTAAAGGCGACATGATAGTATAGATTCAGACTTTTAATATCCAACTGTATGTTAGTTTATGACAAATTGTCACTCTTTGAAGAGAGGATGCAAAGTGATTTGCCAATCATGTCACAAACCGAGAGTGACTGGACACTATTCATAATGTACTGGTCATTAATGTATGGGCAGTCGTCACCATGGATTACAATACAACTACTGCTTTAGTGTTTGTTTCTTTGTTTTACACAGAACAGTGAAATCCAGAGAAAAAGTCAGGACACTATTCATCAGAAGTCGGTGAGTTGTATTCCATTGTGTGAAGTGATGTTATGATATGAGATGCCTAGTGCTTTGGCAATGACAACTTCAGTTATGTCATGGTGGATGATGTCTGCACTGAACAAGTAGGTGTGATGTGTATAATTTGCACATTTGATGACGTGGCTGAAGGATGATATGCTTAACATAATACAGACCATGCCCTATGTTGTGTAACGAGTTTTTTTTCAGTACAGTTTTAATGGCTATATGCTGTCAGAAAACTAATTAACTAAGTGACAATAGATATAGCATGGATGATAGCTTATACGACAATATGGACTGATTTCATTCACGGATTAATCTAAGATTTGTTATGTGTTGATAAAGTTACTGTGTTGCACTATATTGAATTCACGTATATTAATCGAAAAGAGCTGAACATGTGTGACAATGATGCGTTGTAGACTGGTATGATAACCGCTGAATAAACGACCATGTCAATCCAGATCTTGACGTTTATTATCGAAGGTGAATTGAAATATAGTTTTTTTCTTTTTTACACAGATTAGTGACATGAACGAAATCCAGAGACAACGTAAGCACCTCATTCAGCAGATCTGTGCAAAAATGAAATGGAATACCACATACTATCATGAACCTGATAAAAACCGAAAGATAATCATCATTGACAAATATCATTTTCAGTATTGTAGAATTCCCAAAATAGGCAACACTAGTTGGAAACGGATTATTTTAACTCTGTTAGGAGTTATTGATAACACAGATTCAGAAATTAGCTTCAGGAAAATTCATTGTCACGAGTATCCTACCATCTCTCTGATGGAACCTAACAAAAATTACACTTCATTTTTATTTGTCCGTCATCCCTTTCAACGAATATTATCTGCATACAAGGATAAAATTCTAAAATCATTTGAGGGGGATTTTCAGATAACAAGACGGCAAATATTATCAGAATATCGTCAAAATGTGACTGACGAAAACAGTGGAGCTGATGTATCATTCCCTGAATTTGTGAAATTTCTAGTAAATCTCAAAGGCAATTTAAATGCTCATTGGGATTTCCAGCATACACACTGTGCTGTATGTGAACTATCGTATGATTTTATTGGTCACTTTGAAAATCTTGTAGAAGAATCAAACTACCTTCTTCATTTACTTGGGATTAATACAATCGTTTTTCCGAAACATGAATATAGTTACCATGTTACCAATAGCTCTGAAAAAGACATTTATTTGAACTACTTCTCGCAAGTTTCATCAGAAGACATCCTTAAACTATATGAATTCTATAAAATGGACTTTGAACTGTTTGGATATTCTTTTCCACAAGAGCTATTTTAGGTATGTAGTTCGTACAAGGGCTTATTGCAATTTTTGCATGGATTCTATTTGTAGCACCTTCGTCTCGTGCACGGACAAATCTTTTTGAGTTAAAGTAAATATAACCAATGTTGTAATATACAATATAGTTTTAGACACCTTGATTTATTTATTTTTTTGAACAATAAAAATAAATAAAACAAGATTGGTAATGTGTGTGTTATTTCATATACGTTTTTAAATTATCTCCAATCTTGAAACATTTATTTTTTAAAACATCGATTGTTGCAACAACAAAATAGGAAATTTTAGAAAAATCGGTGCCGAGTGATCAATTCATCTGGCAAATTGTCTCACAAGACTTTAGGCCAAACATTGCAGAAGAAATTACCGTATTGTTGCATAACAATATTGTTAATTTGGAGACTCATTTGCATACATAATCCATTAATGTTCACTGCCAAAACAATGATAATAAACCTTGTGCACTTTTCAAGACTTGCAAGATTTAATCTTATGTATACAACTTATATTTACATAAATATACTCATACATTTTATTATTATTCAAAATTAATCAGCTACAGCACTGCGCAAGTTAAATTTTTCAATGAGAGACCATTCCACTCCAATAAATATCAAGGCTATCGAGATATTATGTACCATCTTATCACACGACGATGTTTGACTCAGAGCAGAGCAGAAACATCCAACAATCTGAATATGAAAAAAGAAAGACTTACATAGTTTGGGGAAAGAATTGAATTATAAACGCTACCCCCAGTCATACTTTGGCAGGTAAGACTACTGTATGCTGGTTCTATTATAAGCTTTTTCTTCTAAGTTCTAGTGCAGTACCAATTTTTGTAAATTGAACCGATCAAATCCATGTTATACATCGTATAATATTAAGTATTTCTTCATGTCATTATAGCCGACAATAATTGACTGACATATTATAAATGTATAATTCTATTCACCTCGAGTTTATCATAAACAACATCATTAACTGGGTCAAATATGGAGAAACCCCTCAACTGAAACATTTGCTTTCAAATTTATATCTATGAAATAAATTAAATACCGAACCATCAGCACATTATTTAACATTATTATTATTTATTTACATTATTTATTTGAATATTTAATTAGGTGGTCGAATTGAGTTTTTATTGTTCTGTTCAAACGGTTCGATTTTAATTGTATGTAGACAAATTCCTAATTTTTCTTACTGTGCTGCTTACAAAAATATCTAAAAAAATTAATATATATGTCCCTTTTCTGAAAAAGAAAACACAATCAAAAGGCATTTGTTACACACCATTTTGTCATTGTAAAGTACAATTTCCTCAAAGTTGCCCTTTCTATTTAGACATGACATAAATGGTGTGATTTTCACAGACACCAGCCCCTGCATCCTGTACACTGAGTGGCCTTCAGATGGAGTGTCTGTCATATTCAGCTACGTTATTACAAAGGTCAGGTTATTTTAGTCTCAATTGAGTGTAATAGGTTCTGCAATGAATGCAATATTTTTATGTCTGGGTACCTATATGTATACAGTAAATTAATAAATTATGGTTATATAGCAAATACATACAGCAAGAAAACCCGTATCCATCAAATGATAATATTGAAATAAATTCCAAAATAAATAAATTTTAAACCTACGAAACTGTTGATATGTACAAATTTTGCTGGTTGAGTGTGCTTGCCATTCATATACATGTGTTTCAAAACAACTGTAAAGTTTGTTCACATCAGTATATCGGGCTTCGACAACTAAATTTTGAAAATAATCGATGTGCATTTAAGAAATTGTAAAAAAGTTAGCCGCCAAGCAGTCATTCCCAAAAATGATGTGAAACACAAAAACAACAGGACATACATTAATATAAATGTCCAGTTTTGAACAAATGTGGACAAATGTGACAGGCTCAAACTAAGTTGGATGGTGAAATAGTAGATGTTGGTACAAAGTACAGAATCGTATAATTGTTTATTTCAAAGTATAACGAACAATTAATTAATAAATAATTAATAAATCATCACATTTCAATGAAACTTTGTACATATATGATCAGTTTTGGGTTAAAATCTGTTCATATAAATTCCCTAATTAGCATAATAATTCATAATTGTTTGGTTATTTCAATGAAACTTGGTACATAGATGGTCTGTTACATTGCGTAGACCTTATTAGTTTTACACTCTGTTCATTTAAATTTTCTGATTTGCATAATTAGTTTTCAGCTTTTCCATCAATATCTCAAGTATAAGTAATTTTGAATTAATTTTTACTGTGTCTCTAATACTCTCAGCACACGGGAGTTCTTTCTAAGCTTTCCTTGATTTTCTTATAAGATCACGCACTTATATTAGGGGTGTTTCATTTTAATTTATTCTTTTTAGTTTAGAATGCTAAAAATTGACAAGTAATACATTACAAAAAATGCGAGGAAAATCTGTAATGAGCATCGATCCAAGATGCTCGCCAACGCGCCACTGACCATATTTGTTTCATAAATTCACACTAACTCTGAATCACGATAGTATTTTGCGACATAAATTATATCTAACCAGATAACAGATGAATTTGCATAATTTCAATATGGCCAACCTGTTGCACACAAATATTCCATTTCATTTACAGACATCCATCATCAACCTTTGTGATGATTGGCGTAAATATTATAGGATCACGTGACCATTTTCATATTGACATAAATTGTTTTCAATAATTTGTACAATAAATGGGCAGGGGTACATTTTTCAAAAATGTGGAGAAAACGGTTAGTGTGATTAGTAAAATCGCATGCACTGCAGATGATACAGTCATTTCTTTGTCTGTAGGGAACCGCTCATGCTCGAACGATTACGATTACCGATGTGAAGCAAATGTTGCGACGTGACTACTTTGTGTGATTAATGCGATCACACGATGAAATGCATTTAGTATCTCAATTCAATGTAGTAGCCAACTACTCGTCAGCCTGTCATCTTGATAGGCAACATTTCATTTTAATTTTATTTCAAATTATTCCTGGCCCTGGTCCTTTCAAATGTTTCCGATAGAGAAGTATAGTTATTGAATTGTTTGAATGTGATAACCACGAGCAAAAACATCTTTAACGAAACTGAAACCGCAATCGTATGTCTGCCTTTTTCAAGTGTCTCGTTCACGCTGAGCCTGCAAAAAAATAGTTGGCATGAAAAGTTTGGCAAAGCACCTGGCATAAACAGCTGTGTGCATGTTGTCGGGAATAAACTTTCAGGGTTGGACTGCTAGACTATGTAGACTGAGACGCGACTCGTGAACATAGTGTGATTCAGACGAGGTCAATCGACGATTAACTAGTCATTCGTAATCTCTGGACATCCAAAATGTTGTCAAATATAAATCAACTGTATTTGAGATGGAAAATATTTAACGAAATTTAGTTACATGTTAGTTTAGACAACGAATGAAGATACTTGTTTTAGTCTGTAAACGTTCATCGCCGCTAGCTGATTTTTCGCCGAGAGCCTCAGGTTTTAACATGCGCTCCAATTGATTGACTCTTACGCGGGATTTGCAAGAGATTTCCTATTGCATTGAGTCAGATGTAGTTAGAGCGACCGCAATACAACACATGGAGATATGGGATTCTTTTGTCAACAACAATCGAGTATATCACATAAGATTGGTAAATTATAATTAGTCATGTGAAGGACCTTGTATGCTGGCCATCTTTTCTGACAAGCGTAAAATATACAAGACCCTCCAGATTGTTACGTAACACCCATTAGAATGTTTGGTTGATGAATAATTATCATGATAACATTGTTTCAAATGTCATGGGGGAAATATCGTCGTGTCTCTATACACGTCTGATTGAGGTACAGGATCGGGAAAGTCACTTAACTTAAACTTTACAGTCAAATAGACACACACAACGAAATAAGTTTTAACTCTCGTCTTTAATTGGCCAGTCGAGTACTCTATAAGACACAACGCCCTGGGGAAAAATCCCCAAGACTATCTAGCTTCGTGACCGTCTTGTCGAGCAACTTAACCAGACTGACTCAAACTTCGTTTATTACTCATCAAAACGTAACCAATTACAAGGAAGTATAAAGACTATAAGGCGTAACCTTCAATCATACAGCCAATCACACGAAGTACTTAACACGTCACATCTTATGGATTAATCGTCTGCTATATTAATAAACTACAAATACCAAACTGTCAGAAATAGTTCCAGTCAATGATTTCAGTTCCGACGAAGGCGCCGCGCGAGTCTAAATAATGGCAGATTATGGGAAAGTGATGAATGATATGACACAGCCATCCACTAGAACCCAACTATCAAGTCGTATCAGTGACCCATCTTCTTAGACACAGAAATAAATCATGACACAGACACAAACCTGTGCTAAATACGGAATCCTAACCTACATCAATAGTAATCTCATGATCATAATTATATTACATAAATACCGTTTTTCAAGATGCCCAATATTCATAAGGGTGAAATATATATAGCAAAAACGAAAGACCAATCAAATCTCAATATAGAATATATACGACCATATGTTATGATCATATGATTATGACTGGTCAACCTGGCTAGATGCTGTGGAATGTATACCGACCATGGTCGTAGATTATGACCGTGGTCAATCTGGCCAGATGCTGTGGAATGTATACCGACCATGGTCATATGGTCATGACCGTGGTCAATCTGGCCAGATGCTGTGGAATGTATATCGACCATGGTCATATGGTTATGACCGTAGTCAATCTGGCCAGATGCTGTGGAATGTATACCGACCATGGTCATATGGTTATGACCGTGGTCAATCTGGCCAGATGCTGTGGAATGTATACCGACCATGGTCATATGATTATGACCGTGGTCAATCTGGCCAGATGCTGTGGAATGTATACCGACCATGGTCATATGGTTATGACCGTGGTCAATCTGGCTAAATGCTCGCATTACATTTGGAGTAGTTTTTAACCCGCACTCCGATTTATTG